CGGCAAAGATGACGGTGTCAAAACTTACTTGCCCATTCACTAATTTGTTTTTTCTCTCTTTTCACTTGAAAAGGTTGTGGTAGTTTAAACCACAAGTACCTCGCCCAGCTATCAAGTTCGAGGCTCTGACTACCGGTAGCCCGAACATTCCCGAGCCTCGAACTTTATTGCCGAGCCTCGGACAACTGGTAGTACATCACGGAAGAAAAAAAAAAGACAAAAAACATACAACTTCCTGCAAAACAAAAACAAAAAAAAAAACAGCCAAAATCATACATGCCCAACGAGAATGAATCTTCCTCGATAAAGAGGAAGATTCATTCTCGTTGGGCATGTATGAGAGAGAGAGAGAGAGGGCGTCAGCCAGTGTCTGACGCCGAGTTTGGTGCACCAAACTCCGCGTCAGACACTGGCTGACGCCCTCTCTCTCTNTCTTCTCCCTCTCTGCCTACGGTTTACCGGGCAGTTCTATTTGACGATATGTCCTCTTCTCCCTCTCTGCCTACGGTTTACCGGGCAGTTCTATTTGACAATATATATATATTATTTTAAATTTGGTGAAGAGTTTCGATGTAACCCCGAGGCAAAAGTTGTTCAGTTTATTTTTCTGCATAACATAGTTTTTCTTTGAATTTTCTGGAATTTTTTTTTTTTTTTTTTTGCTGGGACCTTCCTTGGTCCTTGCACGGGCTGGCCACCCAGGACCCGGGCGGCCCGGCTGGTAGCCTAGGTTTCTTCCCATTTTTTTTATTTTTTGTTTTTGAAAAACGGTTTCTTCCATGTATTGAGAGGGAAACAACGAAGAAACGAAGAGGACCAAAATGGAAGACGGACAACAAACACCGCAGCGATCCCCATTAATTAGCGACAAAGGGTATAAACCGCCGTACACTCACACTGCTGCGTTTGTACGCCATTCAGTAACCCAACACTTCAGAGGGTATATGGCGCCAAATGGTATTGGGGCAACGCTGCTTCAAACGCTTTTTTTTTTTTTTTTTTTTTTTTTACACCGCTATCAGCCTCGCTGCTTCAAACGTCACAACAGCAAAAAACGAACTTTGAAAATCCGGATTTGTTCCGCCTTTCAATTCAAGCAAAACACCTTATTTTTGCCAGCAACACAGGTCAAAAGTAAGACATGCGTGCACGCGTGCATTGGACCCATCCGTCCTCTCATCCACCCATCTACTCTCTCTCTCTCTCTCTCTCTCTCTCTCTCTCTCTCTCTCTCTCTCTCTCTCTCTCTCTCTCTCTCTCTCTCTCTCTCTCTCACCACCCCACCGCAAAACCCACTCCTTGCTCTATTTGTGCTGCTTTACATGTACATACAGGATTTTGCCGACGGCTCACGGTCCCCCCGGACGAGTTATATTGCGCCAGCAATCTCGCCCCCACGAACAGTGGTCTCAAAAAAAAAAAAAAAAAAAAAAAAAAAGTGGTCTCGTCTCACACCCTACTGCCCAATATGCTCCCTCGACCGGCAGACCAAGGCATTACGACGGCTGGCCGTGTCTCTAGATACCTCTCAAACATGGATATGGACCTCGCTCAGCTACATCACATTCTAACTGCTTCTGGACAGTGCCGTGATCCAGATACGTTCAAATTGACAAATTTATATAATGTATCTGATCGGCAACAGATCCAGATACGTCTGGAATGCTGTGCAGTGGAGCGAGGCACATTATTCAAGCAGATTCTTTCTGTTTGGGAATCACCGGCGGCTGACAAGATACATAAGGGAGGGTGGTCACCGCTTGCAAGGCCGTTGAAGGAGACACAAGCTTATAACAAGCAGGAGGGGGGGGGGAAGAGGGGGGGGAAGGAGAGGAGAACCGCCACGTCAGCAGGAGGAGATGAAAGCGAGGAGGAAGAGGAGCAAGCGGAAGGAAGAACCCAAGAAAGGGCTCAGAAGAACCCACAAAACGGCGCAGAAGTACTGGTGGCAAAATTCCTTGCACTCCAGTCTATAGACTTGTCTTCAGATTCCAGACCAGGATTCACAAGGAAGGCCTCGCTTTTCTTCAGTGTCGATCGAGGCGCGTTAGCGGAATTTCCCAGTTTCGAAATCGGATATTGTATTATGAAATCTATTATGAAATGTATTATGAAATCTTTAGACGCACGACAAGAAAGGGCGCAGAAAACCTGAAGAAAGGACGCAGACAAACCCAAGAAAGGGCGCAGAAGAACCCAAGAAAGGGCCTCGCTCCACTACTCTCAACATGCACAAAAAGACAAAAATCATGGCGGTGTATCTTTCCATGTTCTAGCGAAAGATTCACTCTCGTTTTGCACATTTCGAGAGTAGTGGCGCGAAGCCCAAAGGGCGCAGAAGAACCCAACAAAGGGCGCAGAAGAACTGAAGAAAGGGCGCAGAAGAACCCAAGAAAGGGCCTCGCTCCGCTACTCTCGACATGCACAAAAAGACAAAAATCGTGGCGGTGTATCTTTCAATGTTCTAGCGAAAGATTCACTCTCGTTTYGCACATTTCGAGAGTAGTGGAGCGAAGCCCAAAGGGCGCAGAAGAACCCAAGAAAGGGCGCAGAAGAACCCAAGAAAGGGCAGGAGGTTAAGAAACAGGCGGTGGAAAGCCGGAGGAGGTTTACACATAAGACAAAGCAAGCAGCTTTCCCAGGGTCGATCACCTTCATCACAAATATACTTCTGTAGTGACATAAAGTTTTGTTCTCGATTTATTTATGCGTGTCATCCTTGCGCAGGGGCCATGCTAATCTTTTTTTTTTTTTTTTTTTTTACTTACAAAACATAGACGGAGACCATGCTAATCTTCAGTCTCTGTATCGTTCCACGGTTGTCCCGAAGGACTAACAGCATTAGGTTGAAACACCGCCGTCATTATTAGGTTTAAACACCAAAGAAAATAGAAAATAGAAAATAGAAATACCTAGGCGAAGCTCAAGATTGGGCCTGGCCGCACTATACTCTCACCAAATGCACAAAAGACAAAAATAAAGGCGGTGCATTTTCCCACGTTCATGGGGAAGATTCATTTTCATCTTGTACATTTGGTGAGTAGTGCGGCGAGGCCCATTGCCACAATCAGTTCGTCGCCGCCGCCGCGAGAGACGGGGGGAGCGCAATATAACACGCGCTACCGATACATTTACATTTCTGTGAAAGAAAGAAAGGGAAAAAAGCCTGACAATGTCAATTTCAGGAACGAAGAAGGAAAAGGAAGGAGAAGGGAAGAAGACGGGGTAGGGTAGGTGATACCTTTCTCGGCCTTTGGCCTAAGATCGAGCGTACTATCTGTTCTGATCAGTTTCATCGAACTTTGAAAAAACAACGAAAATAAAATAAAATCGAGGGGACAGACAGGTGGGGGAAGACAGTGAAAAACGGAAGCCTGACAATTTCAATTTCAGGAACGAAGAAGGAAGGAAGGAAGGAGAAGGGAAGAAGACGGAGGGGGGTAGGTGACACCTTTCTCGGCCTTTGGCCTAAAAGACCGAGTGTACTATCTGTTCTGATCAGTTCCATAAAACTTCGAAAAACAACGAAAAAAAAAACAAAAAAAAGAGGGGACAGACAGGTGGGGAAGACTGTGAAAAACGGAAAAGGCAGGTACGAAAACAGCAACGGAACCCTACAACCGAAAAAAAAGATGAACAGACATTACCGGATACCACCTGCCCCTCCTCCTCCGCCGCCTCCCCCTCCGACGACTCTCCCCTTCCTCCGGCGCCTTTCCCCCTCCTTCCTAAGGAGGGAGAGGGAGAGGGAGAGGGAGAGGGAAAGGGAGACGCCGGTGATACGAGCGAGCGGGCGTGGAACAACAAAACCGACAAATAGCCGCCAATCGTAAGAGAAAAGAGGGCCTCAGAACCAGAAGGTACTGCCCAGAAAGCTGCCAGTAGACAAGTGGATGGAGTGTTCAGAAATTGGAGTCGGTACGAGCACGTAAGACACAGCAAAAAACTCTTTCCCAGGCGATGGTGTGTGCCGCCTACCTTGTTTCCCCAAATACAACGGCCGGTCATTACAGCTGAACTGGGTATCTTTCAGTCTAAGTACAGCTGCAATGACCGTATCTTTCAGTCTAAGTACAGCTGCAATGACCGTACGTTGTATTCGGGGGAAGAAGGTAGGTAGTGGGCAACAAGAAGAACAAGAAGAAATAGTGGGGAAAAAAAACAGTGTCCATAGACTGCTTCTCGCACACGCATATATGTATATATATATATATATGTATGCGTGTACCAGAAGCAGTCCATGGACACTTTCTTTTTTCACTATTTTTATATGCGTGTACGAGAAGCAGTCTATGGACACTGTTTTTTTTTTTCACTATTTCTTCTTGTTCTTCTCGTTGCCCACAGACCGACGCCACAAGAGGAAGGGCCATGCCGCGGATCCAGCCGGCCTCGGGGGAGTTGAACAACAAAACGGCAATCGATAGAAATGATCAAAGAAATGGGGGGGTCAGAAATCCCCACAGGGGGTGGCAAGGAGGCTATAGGGGTAGACAGGCTGGAAAGGAGAAACTCTGACGGTGCGTGAAGCCTACCCAGTAGTGGGGGTCAAGAAGAAGAAGTTGAATCTAAATGCGAATGAAGCGAGGCCAATGGCCACGTGTGCGTGTATCAAAACCTCAGAGATTCGTTACAGCACAGCCATAGCTAATTGCTCAAAACGCACACGAGCACTTATCATCCACTGAAGCTTTCCGCGCAGGACAACGACGGCCGGAAAAGAGCGAGACATCGCATTGGCTAGAGGGGTTGAACAAAGAAGAAGATCAGTTAGAAGGGAGGGAGGGAAGAAAAGGGTGCATAGACAACACGAGAGAGAAGGCCGGGAGGAAGGCGGGGAGGAAAAGGGGCAGGGGGAGGCAGGGGGAAGCAGGGGGAGGCAGGGGAGAAGGGGCTGCATAGACGACCAGAGAGAGAAGTCCAGGAGGCACGGGTGGAACTGGGAGAGAGAGAGAGAGAGAGAGAGAGAGAGAGAGAGAGAGAGAGAGAGAGAGAGAGACCTGATAGTCGGTGCTTCGTCGCGCGATGAACTTGGCCGAGCTCAAGAGCATCCGCGTCGGCAACTGGTCGTAGTCGCCTTACGAAGACGGGCAGGAATCCACCTCAATCTTCCCCAGTCGGTCCGTCCGACTATAGCGGGCGTGATCCCACCTGCTTCGCGAGCCTTTTTTTCTTGTTGGAAAGACTTGCGAAATACCCCTATAAGTTGAGATAATTTCCAAAATGCCCCTAAGAGATGTGGGTAGAGCGGAATACCCTTTTTGGGCCTAATTCTTTGTGTTTTGCCACTGTCAGGCCTGTGTGCAAATTTGCAATCTGGACGTCCTCGTTGGGGCCTGCACCCTGTGGTTTGCCCTCCATACCGGGTGGGCAACTTCGCGCAATACCCAGGCCCATAGGCGCGGCAGTTTGCCTCCAACTTTCTAAGGCCTGGACCCCACAGGAATTCCGCAGAACCGTCGTCGGAAGAGTTTTGGAAAGTCTGGAAAGCTTTCTGCAGGGACCCCACAGCGGAGGGAGTTTTGCGGCAAAATGTTGAAAAAGTTTACCGTAATAGGAAACGTGGCCGCCAAGCGTCCCGAAATGGAAACTGCTGGTTTGTCCGAGTGACCGCCGTGGACCGTAGGAGCCAGCATGGTCCGGCACAGGGCAACTCTGGGCGGTGTTTGGGCGACCGGCGATCGACGAGTCGGGAATCGAATGGCGCCACTGCAATCGTTGGGGGTGGGTGGAGTCTGTGGCTGTGGTACCAGTCCCGGTTACCACAACCCCGCGATGTGACCGTTGGGGCGGACTGCGGACGTGGTGTCTGTGCCAACGCCATCCCCACCATACCGGCTGCCCCCCTCTCACCCCTCCCCCACCTGGAGGCGGAGTCTTCGCTTCCTGGTATTTGCTTCTCGTATGTTGACGTCCATAGCGCGTCGACCTCGTGAGCGGATTCCCTACTGTGTGAACTCGGTTGTGCATCCTGTGTTCTTCCGCAGTGGTCGACGAACCTGCGATTCGTGTGGAGTAGGCAACCATGGCTGCTGCTGGGAGCGACTGGGACGACTCGACGTTCCTACTTGTTTTCATCCTGCTGCAGTGGATGAACCGGAGGAACGTCACCGCCATGGCCGTGCTGCAGGCAGCCGCTGCATTGTTGGGAGATGTGCCTGGCGTGTGTTCCGCCCTCTTCCTTCTCATAGGCGCAATGTTGCACAGCATGTCGTTGACATGTTTGGCGGCCACTGCATTCGAGAGACAGATGGACAGTCGGTGGCGGATATGGGTGTTGGCACGCAGTGCAGGAGTGTGGGATGACCTGCAAAAGGTGGGAGGCAGGCACGAGAAAGTTTTCCAGCGCTTTTGCACACTGCCTAGGCCTTTGTTCAACAATAACCTCTCTCGCATTGGCCTCGGGCCACATATCCAGCGGCAAGCAACGAATTGGCAACAACCGGTGCCTGCAGGGCAGAAGTTCGCATGCTCGCTCATCAAGTGGGCAACTGGCGGTTTCTACAGGCAGACAGTGCATGGTTTGGGGATGGGTTTGGCGAGTGCCCTCAGGAGCAATGAGGATGTCGAGGATGCGCTCATCACCGAGTATGGGCATTTGCTGCAATTTCCCACAGGCGACAAGCTGCAAAAGAATTTGGACGCGTTCGAGAGGAAGGGTTTCACTGGGTGTGTAGGAGCAATCCACTGCACACACGTGTACATCGGAAAACCCAGGAACGAACGTGGAGAGTGCTACTACGACAGGAATGGCCAATTCTCCATAGTCACGCAGGTCGTGTGCGACCACGAGTGTCGAATCTTCAGTGGGTATGTTGGTTGTCCGGGCTCCGTCCACGATAGGCGTGTGCTCTGTATGTCTCCTTTGTATCGTGAGGCGCAACAGCCGAGCGGGGTGTTTGGGACGGGCGGGGAGGTGCTGCATGATGGCCGTGCGATCGGAAGGTATTTGTTGGCGGACGCAGAATACCCGAACTTGCCATGGCTGATAACTCCCGTCGGTGGGACAGGCCGGACACCTGCGGAGCAGGTTTACGACGATTGTCACACATCGGCAAGGTCGTGCATCGAGCGAGATTTCGGTCGATTGAAGGCCGTGTGGCGGCACTTCATCAGGAGGCAGATTTGCAACTTGCGAACACTCCGCAAAGAGTTTTTCGCAATCTGCATCCTGCGCAACATCATGGTGAATTCGAGGGTCGAGGGCGACCCCGATCTACTATCTGATGAGAGTGACACTGATAGTCCAAACTTGGTTTGTCGTCATCGTCGGCGACGTGTGAGGCACGCAAGACCCTCACGGCATCCTCCTCCTCCAGAGGAGGATGCCGCATGTGCTTTAGAGCTTGGCAAGGAGTTGAGGGAAAGCCTCATCCGACACGTGTTGCATCACAGCCGTGTGCACGACGCTCTTAGACCGAACCCCTGGTGGATGTGACATTTTTTTTAATTTGTAGTGTTTTTCATAAGTGTTTTTTGTTATTATAATTTTTTGGAATTCGTCGACTTTTTTCCCATGCCTTTTTCTGTGCTGTCCGAGTTCGATTTCGCCATTTACATGGCTTGTCCAATCGCGGTTGGTGAACGGGTAGTTTTGGGCATATACTCATGTTTTTTTTTTGTTTTTTTTTTTTCTCTCTCTCGTTTATTGATATGCATACTCATGTGTGATTGAATATGAAATAAAACAGTACAATAGATTACACAAAAATTGACAGAATAGACAGATTAAATTTAATGGAAACCGGATAAACATAATAGATTCAATGAAATACACACTCGCACATGCACACACACACACACACGCACGCACGCACACACACACACACACACACACACACGGACACGCAAGCACACACCTGCACACGTGCGCGGGTGTGTGCTTGCATGTTCGTGTGTGTGTGTGTCGCATCTCTCTCTCTCTCTCTCTCTCTCTCTCTCTCTCTCTCCCTCAACAGTTTATCGATATGCATATACAGATCATAAGTGGTGTGGCATTGGAAATGAAATAAAGTAATAGAATAGACTACACAAAATAGAAGGGATAATCGATTAATAACGAATAATAAAATAGAGTACATAAGCTAACTATAAACATGTCAAAAAATGCATGTGTGATCGACGAACTCCAACAACAAACAACAAAAAATACATGCACGCATCGATCGACAAATGTGAGTTCGAGATTAACAAAATTCATGTGAAGGGAGTAGCTCTCCCGCTGCCACGCACACATACAGATATCCAGTCACAAACGCTGTTGAATCGACGGCCCACGGTCGAGCATGTATTCCATTCAATGAAAACAACAATACCACATTCATGACACCGGCGAGAGGATAACATCACACCACGACGTCCTCCAATGGCGATTGGACACGTGGACACCGAACACCCGACAGATTGACACGAAGACAGCATGCGGCACATCCCCTATGCTCCGTTATCCAATCGCGCTTGCTAATTGACCGCCCCTTCGTCTTCACAGTCTATTGCCACCCATCGACCATGCACACACACAGCAGATGACCCCATCCAAATCTTCGTTGCACAAAAACGAAGGGGTGATAAACCTTCTCCCCCACGACTCTACGCAGAGACCCACTGTAACGTTCCACCACTCCAGCAAGTACGCACCCGCCCTCGCAAAAATGAAAGCGCCATCCATGCACCTGAATCCTCGATCTCTCTCGCCTCTCCGACCACAAAACAAAACCCCGATCCATCGCCAACTTCCTCCCGCGAAGATGACGGCAATCAGAACATGCACCCAAAGCTACGCACGGACCTCGCCGTGAAGGTACCCGCGACCGACGAGCGGCTTCTCCAGGAACGTGTAGTAATACGCTTCGTTATCCAACTGCGAAGAGTGCTCTATCGCCAAGTTCTGGATGAGGTTGACGACGATGTTGCCGACGATGTCTACCTGCAGTTGTGTCCAATCGTCCAGAACGATGGATGCAGTCTTCGTGACGTACAACACGACATGAGAGAGGAGACGGTTGTTGAAGCCCAAGGCGGTGTCGATGTCGACAGTGGCCTGCCTATTGACGTCGACCGAATAGAAATGGTACGACCGGCGAGTGATCTCGTCCCCGAACTGCGGGTCGTGATGAAAGTACCCGTTCCGCCGCCGCCGATCTTCCCAATACATGATCGCCTCGCCACGCACAATCTCCTTCCATGCGAGTTGCATCTCTCTCTCTCTCTCTCTCTCTCTCTCTCTCTCCACCGGGAACGCCATCGCAGGAATCTCCCACACACGAGCGCGGGGAGAATGCAGGGCTCCTTCGGGAATGAACTGCCAACGTTGCTTTATATGGAAGCGCGCGGGTGCCAGTTGCCCCCGGAATAACGGGCCCAGCACAGGTACTCCTAGCACATCCCCCATCCCGGGCAATCTGAAAAAAATTGTCCCAATTTTTTGAATTCTTCTCTCAATTTTGTTATCCTTGTCTGTCGATGGTGTGCATGGGATGCCAGGGATGGGTTTCAAGGGACCACATTCCGGAAAAACGGGGATGGTTAACGACGGGTTGGAAATCGACGACCCGCAATGCCCTACTTCGTCGACGGGTCCGTGTCCTGACTGTCGCTGGCCACCCGCCCAGTCCCTGACCCTCTACCTGCCATCACCCCGACCATCATCTCCAACACACTATTCCCTTGCTGCATCGCCCCTGCCACAGCCCCGATCTCTATCGCCATATCTCCCATCTTCGCTGCCATGAGCGCAACACCTTCTGTCGTGGCATGTGCCATGTTTCCGGCAGCCTTGTCCAGGCCCTCGCAAAGAGACCACGTAGATTCCTCCATCACCGAAGCCATGCCGAACATGTAGGACGATGACTCACCTTCCACGAACTTTTCTAGCTGCGGCCCGCCTCGTCTTCGCTGCACTCTCAGTGGGTTCTGTCCCCCCACCTTCGGAACCTGGCTCGCTCGCTGATCCTCTCGATTCAGTCCCCCTCAAGTCCTCTGGCGCCATCGTATTGTCGCAATTGAAGGAAGCCTTCTTTCAGTACCACTCCATGGCGTCCCACAACGGCTTCTCAAACGTCAGGGCTATCCCCAATGTCTTCCTCTCCTCCGTAATGATGTCGAAGTACCCCAGCTTGCCGGAGCAACTGCAGGCGTCACGAATCTCCCTCACCTTCTTCTGGAACTTTGCCCACTTCTTCCTACAAAATCCTCCCCTGTCCTCAAATAACCCAGGTCCGCTAGGCGGTCCGGGATCCACTCATACCTCCTTGTCCTTGTCATGTGTTGTTGAGCACCCTCTGCATCGGCCATGAGGGCGTCATCCTCGCCGCTGATCCTCGCCAGGGCTATTCGCTCTTCCAGAGTCCATAGGTTGTTCTTCTTGGGCTGGGTTGTAGACTTCCCCCACTTCTTCCAGGTACCACACGCAGGTCTCGCGGTGGTCCGACCATGCGCACCTCCACCTGGGTTCGTCGACGAATCGGCTGCCGGTCCTTCATCACCATCGCAGTCGGAGTTCTCCCCATCCAAGCCCGCCGCCAACCCTTCGCCCGCACCATCCGAACTCACAACCGCCATGCTAGGCGAACAATCACCGGCCATGTCCCTCATGGCATTGGCACTCCCTGCGTGTCTACCTTCCCTCCTCCCCGTCGGGGATCCATATTCCCGTATTACGTTAGCCACCCCTGAGCCCCGGTCTTCGCCCATCGCTGCCCTTTGCCGTCGTTGCTGACGTGTCGGCGATTGTCGGACACTCACCCCGCCCGGAACTGCGACACCAGGTGTCATGTACTGTCGCACCCCCCCTCTGCCACATGTTGTGGTCACGAAGCACGATCAGGCACAGCTGTCTGCCCCGCTGTGGCCGTCCTATGCGCATGCCTTGCCTATGGCGGCGGTATCGCACTCGTTCGATGGGTGTGTGCCATGTCTTCGTAGTTCCCGGCAGCACCCCAAGCACCGACATCGTCCGTTGATGCGTCTCCCCACGACTGGTAGGATTGGATCGGCTTGTCACTGCTGTTTGATGTCCCCTGTGCAGTTTGCATGTACGTTTCTAGCCCCATGAAACCTCCACGGCCGTCCACGCGTAACAAGTCTTGTGTGCCCATGCCCGCGAAAGTCGCGTTGTACAGTCTGTCTCTGTCCGCCTGCTCCGAACGAAGCGTGAAGGAACCATGAGCTGCCATGACGGGCCACGTCATCGGTGGAGGCCCTGCCCCGCGCATATGTCCATGGCGCTGAACGTCTCCAGTCCGAACCTCGTCGGTGTCGTGCATGGATGCACCGACATCCCCATACAGTTCAGACGTAAAACTTCGTCCCCTCATAATCGATCTACCGCCTAGTTACGAAGATAGTGACGACAACGGCAGTGAAGCAGATACAGCGACGCTGCAGAAAGCAATCAGCAGCGCCACGATTATGGTCGCTCCCCAAAACACAACGTTTAGACTGCAGCCCCGACCGTTGTTGTTGCAGCCTTGGAAGACGATAACTATCGGGCCTCGCGGTGATGCCGTCGACCGTCTTCCACCGTCGCAACAGTTGCATTCTTCGGCAGCACTTGGTAGCACTGGAGATGGCACGTGGAAAGGATGCACAGATGTCCCCCCATGTTGTGCGTTAATGAATTGTTGTGCCGGCCGTCCCACAACGTCTCCAACGGGCCTCAACCATGCATGAAAAGTCGTTGGAGGCCACACTGTCGGACCAAATACCCTTACAAGGGTATTTGGCCATGCTTTTGCATTCGACACAGTGACGACGTCGGCTACCACAACGGAGTCAGTCTGAAGATATAAGTTTGTGCACCCTTGTACGACACTTTGAGATAATTTCCTTGACCACTGAGGTCAAGGTGTATCAGAAAGAAAAATTTTGATAGTATGCGCGCGCGTTGTTCCGACGAGAGCTAAGATGGTTAAAAACAGTAATTATGCCCCTCGACCATAAAAGTCGAGGGTTCGGTTTAATAAAGTCGGGTCTGTCCGCCATCTCAGTAGCTGAAAAGGACCAAGCCTAAAGGTATGGGGCCTGTGCCTTGGCAGATTGCGAGACAAAATTAAGGGGCCTGAATTTTTTTTTTGAAAACCCCTCGACCGCGGAGGTCGGGGGTCGGTTTAACTGGTGTTGTGTCGGGTAAGCCGATGGTACGCAGAAAATTTTAAGTGTCGGTACATTGTTTTAGTTGGATTAAAATAATATAAGCTAAAAACATACGGCCGGGGCAACCCTAAAGACCTAAAAACCTACTGCAACCAAGCTACGACGTTCGCCGGAGCTGGTTTCCTCGCCGAAAGCGAGGATTGGGCTTGGGCCACGAGGTGGGCTGAGCCCCACTACTGTACATATACCTGAGCAGCTCCTCTTCTAATTGAAGTAGGAGCTAGCCTAGTAGGTTTCGGTACTACTTGACAAACAGAGGATCTAGGGATCGAGGCCGACCGACCGCGGAGGCTAGCTCCTTTTGATAAGGAGTCTAAACCAACCTTATGTTACCCCTCCGTCGGTCAGTCGGGGCTCGAACCCGTGACCTTCAATTCGAGGCTTGTTAGAGTTAAAACTGTCACAAAGTGGCATAACGAGGTTGTTGGCAGTTAGATCCTTTTCTTTTCTTTTATTTTTATTTCTTATTTTTATTATTACTTATTTTGTTAACAGTTAGATTCTTCTCTTTTATTTTTGTTTTCTGTTCGGATCCGTGGTTGGGTTTTCCTACTTTGATGAATCTGTCATGAAACCCACGACAGATTCATCAACAAAGGAAAGGAAGAGGAAGCCAGGGCCGACTATCGCAAGAGAAGTCAGGACTGCGGAAGAGACCATTTTGAACGAGGACGGGGAAGTTCGCGCGGTGCATGAGAGGAAAACTTTGTCGGGAAGAAGCTGAACACCACGCGCAGTAGTAACCAGCAAGCAGGCGGGGAGATGGCTCCGAAAGGGGAGATGCGCACGGGGGTAGCAGAAGGGGATAGCGCGCTGGGAGCAGGAAGAGACCGCGCGGAGGAAAGGTGGAAGTTGCGCTCTGGGGATAGCAACGAATGAAGAGAATAACAACGTAGTATAGGGACAAGAAAGTAGGAGGAAGGAAAGAGAATAGAAGGAGGGAGAAGAAGTAGAAGGAAAAAGAAGAAGAAGAAGAAGAAGAAGAAGAAGAAGAAGAAGAAAAAGAAAAAGAAAAAGAAGAAAAAGAAGAAAAAGAAGAAGAAGAAGTGGGAGATGGGGAGAAGGATCACCGCGATGGGATAGACTGTTGTAATTATCAATCTTGAAATGCCTAGTAAGCGCGAGTCATTTACTCGTGCTGATTACGTCCCTGCCTTTGTACACACCGACGTCGCTCCTACCGATTGAATGGTCCGGTGAAGTGTCTGGATCGTGGTGATCTCGACGGTTTGCCGCCGGGGAGTGCGGTTGAACAACATCGACCGACGACGACGACATCGGCCGCTACGACGACGACGACGGGAAGAGAGGAAAGAGGTAAGTTTCCAATCTTGCGGCTTACCTCATGATACATTAATAAGATAAATAAAAGAGAATAAATAAATTAAATAAATAAATAAGTAAATAAATAAGAACAAAATCGATTGAATCTCCTGCTACATCCGGGAGGTATACACCGCCGCTTGCGCCGTTGCTGTTTCGCCTTGGTCGCTGCTCACCTGCTCTCGGGCTCTCGACTGCACTCGCCATCAGGATAAATGTTAGTGTATGAGTATGTGTGTGTGTGTGTGTGCGTATGTGTATGTGTGCGTGAGAGAGAGCGAGACTATAAGTCTCCAACCTTGACCAACAGGCTACAGCCAAGTCTCGAACCCGCGGCTCGCCGAACGCTACTTGGATTGATAGAATGAGCAAATCAAAAGGTGCTAGTGTATATTTCCACGTTTCAGCGGAAGATTCATTCCGTTTTTGCTGATCCTATCGATGAAGTGTGTGTGTGTGTGT